GCCGGTTCCACTGCGCGTGACACGGACCCCTCACGGCAGCCAGCGAAGGTGGCCTGTTGTCCTCGTGTGCGTTGGCAAACTGAGGCGAGGGCACGCTTACAAGTAAAAGCCCTGTGGGTAAATTGGGAATTTTGCGAGCAGAAACAGCTTGATTTTGAGGCAGAACAATCCCAGAAGTTCGTCGTCATTTCACCCACTGTCATCCCCGCCTCCCAGCAAGCTATTTAGGCCCAGGCTCCTGGGGAGCGGCCCCTGGGGGCCCACAGCTCGCAGTCGGGCCCGCGCAGTTTCCCACGCGGTTACCCCCGTGGCTCCGCAGTCAGAGTGACCGCTTCCCCGGGCGCCTGCACGCCTCCACGTTGACGCGCCCTGGGAGACTGCGACGCACGACGCCTGGGCTTCGTTTCCTTGTGTCAGGGGCCAAGTCCACGTTTTCAGCGTCCGTGTGGGGCTGCCCGCCCTGTGTCGCCCTGAGCCTGTGTCGCCAGACCACGCTTTCTCCACTGGTGCTGATTTCTTTTTCTCCTTGGGCCTTTGCTGACTCCTAAGGCGCTGCCGACGCTGGACGGTCTTGCCCCCCAGGACCCACCGGCCTCTTCCTTCTCGGCCCTGCTGCAGGGGGCCTATGAGCGTGAGGGGGCCCTCCTGGATGAGGGTGTCCAGGCGCAGCTGCTGGCTGCCCTCCCGCGCCTCCCCATGCACCAGGTCCCCCTGGCCGCGAAACACGTGCTGCTGTATCTCCGGAGCACCGTGGGGAACTTCCGCCAGGTCAGCTGCCCCTCCTCCACTCGGGCCTTCTCCAAGTCAGGGACAGCGAATGTGGGTGTTGTTGACCTGCCCCGCATGTGGGGTGGGTGGGACCTGGCATGCAGCCCAAGGGCAAGGGTGGGGGCACCTACGTTCTTCAGGCCCCTCCCTGGAGCCGGGAGGTGGGTGAGCTCCGGTTCCCCGTCTCTGGTAAACCCAGCGGATTCCTGTGCAGCTGCGGATGGGGCTGGGGTGGCTGCGAGTGATGACGGGCCCTCTCACCGCAGGCAGGAGCCCCCCACTTCCCCTGCCCCACCTGCTGCTGTCATGAGTTTCTTAGTAGCTCTTATCGCTAGCTTTCTTCACCAGGAGTGACTTCAGATTTTTGAGGCAGGTTTTCCCCCTCGCTTCAGTCAGGACGTATCTGTCTCACCAAGACGTAGGTGGATGCGTCTCTTACCTGGAAATGCCTCTGAGTTTGTGGCATTTTGAGGGGCACGGCCCACGCGGCGTGTTCCCACGTTTCTGGTGACATCACCCCTCTGGCTGCCAGCCGCTGCCTGGCCTGAGGGTTGTGCCACGCTCCTTCCACAGCTGGGCAGAAGTGCGGGGCCGGCCATGCTGCAGCTCCTCCTGGGCCTCCTGAGACGCCTGGTCGTGCACTGTGAGGAGCTGGATGCCCGGAACCAGCAGGAATGCCAGGCCGCCCAGGCCGAATCTCACCTCTTTTTGGACCTGGAGTCCGTGGCCTCGCTGGAGTTGGCCGGTGACAAGGTGCTTCCTCCCCTGCAGGTCTCCTGTGCGCGCCTCCCTCCCCTGATGCAACCACATTCTTGAGGGAAATGCAGAAAATGATAGGAGAAGTAGAGTCCGTCGTGTGGCTCACCCCACAGCAGAGCAGGCTCCGCAGGCCTCGCCTGTGGTTGCTCTGCTCACTGACCTCCCTGCCCGCGCTTACCCGATACCGTTCGTCGTGGGTGTTAGCCGCTGGACAGCTGCAGTCTGTGTTGCTGGTGGCTGCAGGTGGGCGAGGGCCCCCTCCCCAGGCCCTGTCGGCCCTTACAGCCTCAGCACGGCTCCCTTTTGATCTCCAGCTGGACCTTGAGTGGGGGTGGGCTGGGCTGTGTATTGCTGCAGGACCTCTGAGCCCATCAGCTGGGGCACAGGGCTCCAGACGTGCCATCCAGCCATGCCGTGTGGAGCGGGCCAGGTGCGGCGGAAGGCGCCAGGCTCCTCTGCCTGCCCGTCAGGAAAGAGGACCGGCTCCCCGGGGCCTGGAGGCCTCGTGCTTGAGGCGTCGAGCTCAGTGAGGCGTAGTGCGACCGAAGCAGACTGCTGCTGAATCCAGCACAGGATGCCCAGCTGCTTTCTGGTCCATGGTTGTAACTTGGTCTCGGGGTCAGACTTTGGTTCCCAGGGCGTCCCGGCGCCCAGCTTTCTACCGAAAGTGGAGGCGGGATTATTTCTCGTCCTGCATTGTGGACTCTCTGCAATGAGCCCCCACCCCCTCCCCAGACCTGGACCTCTTCTCCACCTGTTGCCTTGCTCACCTGCCAGGTGATACTGCTGGGGAGAAAGCAGGGGGTGATTGATCTGAGGCGCATGTTGGGGTTTCTACCCAGTGGCTTCTGTTCAGCAGGCTGAGTCAGCAGGCCCTGCTGAGGTGTCTGAGGGGAGGGGGTTGGGGCTCCAACCAAATCGGGGCCTGTCCTCACAGTCACTCAGGGAGGACCTGCTCTCTGGTCAGAGGAGAGCTCCGACTGGGCTGGGGTTGGGTGCTGCAAGCAGTCCAGCTCGAAAATGAGGATGGAGTGACTGGGGGAATCTGCTCTCCACCCCTGTCTCACCGGGAGTGTTGGCGTGGCTGCTCTGTCCTCCCTGCCCTGGGTGGGGTGGCGTGTGAGGCCGGCCTGTCCCTGTGTTGCAGACGCTGGAGGAGGTGCTGGCGGTCATCCTCCGACACCCCACGCTGGAGGGCTGGTTCCTGGCCCTGGAGCAGCAGGCCCTCCCAGCGCACACGCTCAGCCCCGTCCTTGTGAAGCTCCTGGCCGCCCACTTCAGTGCTGGTGTCCTGCAGCTGCTGATGGCCAGCGCCCCAATCCTCCGTCGCCTCGGCCAGCTGGGCCTGCTGGCCAAGTACTCGGAGGCCATCACCCGGAGTGTGTTGAAAGAGCTTCGGAGCAGGAGGGCAGGCCCAGCCACTTGGCCCTCAAAGACCCTCCCACAGCTGGAGGCCCTGCAGGGCCTTCATTTGTATCTAGAGGGCGCTCAGCTCCGCGAGGTCACCCTGACCCTGCTGAAACTGCCCGAGGCCCAGCTGGTGTCCCAGCAAGCCGCGAAGTCTCCCGAGAAGAAGAGGCGCCTGAATGCTTTCGGGGAGACCCTGGTCCAGCTGTTGACCAGCAGCCCCCGGGACCAGCTGCAGAGCGGCGCGCTTCTCTGGGCCTCTGAGTATGTGAGAGGCCTGGGTGCTTTGCTCCCGGCGCTGGCGGTGGACGAGCTGGACACTGTGTTCCTCCACACTCTGCAGAGAGAGCCCGTGTTGGCCCCCGTGGTCGGGGTCAGCTTGCTCGACTACTGCGTGGCCCGGCGCACACCCGCCACCCTGGGCGTCGCCGCGCTGCTCCTCCAGCACAGCTGCACCCACCTGCTGCGGTTCGAGCTGTGGTGTGGGCAGGCGGGCTCCGGGCGCTGCCTGCAGGAGGACCTGGACGGCTTCCTGCCACTGGTGCACGTGTACCTCCAAGGCAGGACGCGGGAACCCCGCACACGTCCCGCAGCAGGTACGGCCGGGGCCGGCCGGGGGGCGTGGGGAATTTGAAGTTGGAGGGGGATCTGCAGGTCTCCTCTGAGTGCTGGAACTCCCCGCTCTCTCCCGCTCTGGGCTATGGTTCCATTTCTAGTCCCGCCTCCACCCCCTCAGTTCTCAAGCCGGAGAAAGATGCGAAACCTCACTCTCTCTCAGTCCTTCAAACTTACGCCTGGAGGTGTCCCTCCGTCTACTCTGAGTTAAGCCCCGGAAAGCTGGGGGGAGGTGTCAGCTGGAGCTGGGGTTCTTTGGGGCCAGGGGGTGTCAGTGCCATGCCTGGGTCTTGTCACATTGACTAGAGTCTCCTAAGTAATTGCTTGTCCCATTTGCCCGGCTTCGGGGCTGTGGGTGAGTTGACTCCAAGTCAGGGCTGGCTGGGCCCAGGCCGGGTGGATGCAGAGTGACTGGGTCGTGCTGGTGAGTGTTTCGCATCTGGCTCCTGGGGTACCGGCTTCCCCGTTTCTGTGGGCGGCCTGTGTCACGTGACCCAGGTCGGTTCCTGAAGCAGCCGTCTGTGCTGTGTGCTGGGCCACTCTGGCTCCTGGCTCATGAGCACCTCTCCTCTCTGTGCCTGTCCCCAGTGCCCTCCGCTGTCATCCCGGTCTTGAGGAAGGCCCTGTGGAGGCGGCTGCAGACTGCACTTGTCAGTGCCAGCGGGCCCCCGGGGTCTGGGCTATACCAGGAGATCCTGGCCCAGCTGGTCCCGTTTGCAAGAGCCAAGGACATCGGTGTCCTCAAAGACCACCTGCCCGGCTTGCTTCGGACGCCCGACGGTGTCAGGAGGTACGAAGGCTGAGGTCGCTTGGAGGCCATTCCCCTCTCAGCTTTGCTTTTCCCTGGAGCACTTGCGAGCAGGTGGGACATCGCTGGAGGGCTGCCGTGCTGGTGCTGAGAAGCGGTTCCTGCTGGGACCCAAGCCATCTTGGCCAGGGCGAGTGCAGGAGGCTGATTCTGACTCCCTCAGACCAGGGAGTGACTGAAGTTGTCTGCCATTCCTGTCACCACGGGAATGGGGCTCCTGCTCTGACCAGGGTCTCGCAGTACAAAGGACAGCCCCCCCGCAGGGAGTAGACGGGTGGCTGAAGGGCCAGATTACCCCGGCAGCTTCCTGCCCAGCAGCCGCAGCCGCAGCGGCAGCAGCCCCAGTGGCCGCGGAGACGCTCTCGTCTCCCATGGGAGCAGGGCCTATCGTCTCAGTGCTGGGTCGTGGAGGGAGTCAGACTTGGGCCACTGTCCCGAGCCTCTGTCACATTGGGCTCGACAAAGCCAGCAGGTGGAGTGTCCCCTCCTAACTCTGTGACTTGCCTTCTGCTGCAGCTGGGTCGTGGCTGACTCTGTCTCTGCTGTCCTGGAGGGGTCGGCAGAAGAGCTGCGTGCCTGGAAAAAGGTTCTGCTGGAGTCCTGTGTGAGGTGGCTGGTGGCTGCTTTCAGTGAAGGCCCGCAGGAGGCCGACAGCGCCCGAGGGCATGAGAAGCAAATGCTGCTGAGATTTAACGAACTCTTGGTAGGTCTCTTTCCTTAGAGATAGTGACCAAGGTTTTAAGGGAAAGAGATGGAAGAACCAGGGTTTCCAGAAACATCCTAAGCGGGGACTGTGAAGCGGCCAGGTGGTGAAGGGGCCGCGTCTAGGAAGCTGAGCGCTAGGTGGGGGCAGTTCCTGAAAGGAGGCATCTTTTATCATCTTTTATTTTCTTGTAATGTCTTTGGCGTTAACAGCAGGTAGCATTGCCTTCAGAATGTTGGGGAGACTTTCACTGGGTATAGAATCCTAGGTTTTGCATTGTCTTTAAGCATGTTAAAAAGTTGTTACTATACTACCTGTGGCATGTGTTGGGGTCGGCAGTTCAACTCCGTTCTCACGCTATCTCCCAAGGCAGCTTCAGGCTGCACGGGTCCTCAGACACTCCCGCCTGGCCTCTGGCCTCCTGCGGCCCCTCCTCAAATCTCAGCGCCAGTGACCAGCCTTGATCAGTCAGCCACTGAGTCTGGACTTCCAGCCCTCTCTTGCTGCCAGTTCCCTGGCAACCAGCCCTCACCCGCCCCCCAGAGACTCCGTCCCAAGCCCCCTCGTTAGCATAATGAGCATAGCCCAGTGCGTGTATAACTCTCCGTACTTGGGAAATTCCCAGACGGGGGGGGGGGGGCTGTGAGCTAGGAACTGCGGATAATGACGACCTGTGCTCATGGAGTGCACTTTGTGCATCCGAATGACCAAGGGAGACATCTCTGTCCGAATGACCAAGGGAGACATCTCCTATAAAGCCCGGCATGGTAGCTCCCTGTCATCGTTTTCTGCCTGCATTTAGGATTTCTCCCTTGCAGTGTTCGAAGCAGCTGGAGTGTGATAGACCTTGGGGTTGGTTTCTTCAAGTTTCTTGTTTGAGATTCACTGAGCGTGGCTCTGTGACTTGAGAGTTTTGATAAATCTAGAAACAGCTGTTTTTATCCATTACTTCCTTCAGTCAAGCGCCCCTTTAAAAACATTGCTACTGACGTGCAGTCATTCTGAAGACAGGCCTGTGTTGTTCCTCTGCTTGTGGCGCAAAACTGCTTTAGGAGTATTTGTGTTGATCTTCCGAGCCCAAATAAAAAGGGACCCTCAGGAGAATAACGTGGGGAAAGACAGGTGTTCATCGATTGAGACCGAGCAGGGCGCTTGCTCACTTGTTCCAGGAGATTTCACAGCCTGCAATTTTAGGTTGTACTTGTCCATAGATTTAGGGGGGGGGGGGGCGCGTCCCTGAGAGCTAGAGAGAACTGAGCTGCGCGGCGCACCTCACCCCTGGGGGAGCCTTCCTGCAGGCCAGCACCTGGGCCTGCCCTCTCACAGGGCCTGAGCCCTCGGCTGTGTGTAGCCTCAGTGGCGCTGCTGGTCCAGGACGTCAGGAAACATCCCTGCTCGGTGGTTGGTCACGTGTGTACTGACCAGAGCAGCAGAACACTTGATAAATGTCAAAGTAAGAAATGTTTATACGCTCTTGTGGGTCGTCTACCTCACTGCTTTCTTTCCATGTTTACTGGGTGGCTCATTTTCATATCTGTTTCCAATTAACGGGGATGTTCACGTCTGTTTCTTGTTGCTCTGATCATAGAATTCTCTTCAGGAAGTTGATCCTGAGGACTGGCAGAAGTTTGTGAAGACTGGGCTCAAGTAAGTCGGCTTTCTCAGGGTGTGCGTGCCGCTAGGGGTGTGGCTCCTGTGTGCTGTGTGGCAGGGGCGTGGCAGGAGCAGGGTGCCCGCTGGGGAGGCTCGTGGGCCTCCTTTGACTCAGGCGTGTGTTGCGGGCGGCGGTGCGCGAAGCAGCCTTTGAAAAGTAAAATGTGCTTTAAAACCCAGACCTGGGCGCCGCCATGAGTGGCTGGCAGCTGTGTCCGTGCAGTGGCTGGTCTGAGCCCCCCGCCCGCCGCGAGCATCCCTCTCCTGAGGCTGACCTTGCCTGTGTCCATGGCCGTGTTCGTTCCGTCCAGTATGTTTAACGTTTTACAAGCGCGTTTTGAGTTGTGTTGACACGTGCAGCTCTAGTCTCTCGTTTCACCTCTCGCTGACCGTGCACCAGTTAGCTGCTGAGGACTCCCTCCCTCCGTCCCTCGCTCCCTCACTCCTTTCCTTCCTCCCTCCCTCCCTCCGTCCGCCTCCTTCCCGCACTCCCCATTCTGCGGTACCTGTCGCAGGTCACTTAGTGTGCCCCATGCCAGCTTTTCCCTTTGAGAGGACACTGGCCAGCTGTCCAGGTGGGCACAGCCTCAGTCTGCTGATTTTCCGCTTGCTGTCCGGTGTTTGAGCTAACCAATGGTTCTTTCCCCTCACCGGCCCGTGATAAGGTCAGACCAGGTGCCAGGGAGTCTCAGGTCCCTGGCTATTCACGAGCTTTAGTGCAGAGCCAAACGCCTGGCCCGAGAGGAGAGGGGGCATGAAGGTGGGCATGACCGATGGCAGAGTGGGCACTGCTGGGAAGTGATGCCGCTGCTTTAGTTGTGTGTCTCTGCAATGCCCGCCGTATGGGGCGGTCTTGGTGTTGTGTGGGTACAGACTCTCCATCCTCCAGCAGGTCGGGAACGGAAGCCGTAAAGGGCTTCTGTGCCCGTGGTGGGAACTTTTGAGTAAGGAGGGCCCCTGGCCAGGGGCACGGGCTGTGGTGCCCCGGGCCCAGACTGTTGCTGCCTCCTGGCGTTTCGTCTGTACTTTGTGACTTGTTTGCAGCTCCTTTTAATAGAGTGCTGAGAAAAGGGCTGTTGCTGTTTCTGAGGCTCTCCCGCATCTGACTCTCGCCTCCAGATTTCGCTATCAGGACCACGCGTTCCTGCAGGCCCTCCACGCCGCCCTTCAGCTGCTCTACCTCCCGGAAAACTCTGTGGGCGCCAGGCTGGTCCCGCTGCCTGTGTTCCACATGATGCTCACCCAGCATTCTCTGTTCTTGCCAACGCTGCTGACGTCCGAACAAGAGGAAGATGCAGACAGTCGCGTGAAAGGTGACCTCTGGCCCACTCTGCTCAGCTGCAGAGTCTGTTTCCTGGTCTCCCCGGCTAGTGGCGCACTTAGTGCCGTGTGTTTTCAGACCAAGCAGCACTGCCAGTGAGGTGTAGGGTGTTTCCGGAAACGCCCCCACGTCGGGTCAGACACCCACACAGGCCTCTCCACAGAGCCTGTAGTTGCTGGTGTTTAAGGTCTCACTGCTACTTCGTGGGCAGGTGTCAGCGCCGTCCGCAGGGGCGGCTGGCCTGGGAGAGGCTGTTCAGCTGCGTCAGTTGTTGATGGGAAAGTTGAACTTTTTGTATGGCAAAGAACTTTGAACATTTGAGACCTTGCGAAGCCCAGGCTCCATGAGCGTTCACAGTCGGAGGTCACCAGGTTGTGTGTGGTAACTGCTAAACTGAGTGGAGCGGGGCCTGGCGCTGGGCTGGGCTGTGGGAAACCAAAGGGCCCAGCCTCCTCAGGCGGGAGGGGAGCCTTAGGGGTCTTGGCAGCAGTCACAGTCGCCCGGCAAGTGTTAGGTTCTCAGACTGGCCGCAGCATCCCCTGGGGAAGGAGGGAGGGAGGGAGGGAGCCTGAGAGTCGGCTTTGCAGGGGCACGGGTGGAGGCCACTGTGAAGGACTTACTGGAATACAGGGAGCTGGGGAGGGCGCAGACAGCACCTGGCCCCGGCATCCTTCAGAGGGGGTTTCCCGGGCTGGGTGTGCCCAGGGCCGCCCCGCCCCTCCCGGGCGTCCATGCCTGTGCTGCTGAGTGAGCCGTGCTGTCTTCTTCCAGAGGCGCTGGTGGACCTCATGTCGGCGGTGGTGAGGATGTGCCCCGCAGTCTGTGAGAGCAGCCACTTCGCCGTGCTCCTGGGGGCCTACGGCGCCTCCCTCAGCGTCCTGGGTGAGGGGCTGAGGACCCGCAGTGCGACTGGCGCCGGCGTGTGCGGCCCGGCACCGGGGCCGTTGGGGTGTGTGAGGGCTGGAGTGTGTGACTAGGCGCTGCGTGGGGACCAGGAGGAGGGTGTGAGGGGTTCCGCTTTTAAACTGACCTTGGCTGACTTCTAGACCAGAAGATTTTGCTTCTCCTCCGGGCATATGAACAGAACCACCTCAGCCTCATCAACTTCAGGTGAGTGGCAGGGCTGTTTGGGGTGTCAGTTCTCCGGGGGCTGCGCAGCTGAGCCACCCTCCCACGGTGCCTGTGTGTCATGGACCTGCTCCCACACTCCCTACCCACGAGGGTGTCAACTGATTCGTCTGGGAACCTTTCTTTCTGTGCTTTGCTTTAGACAGAGGGACTCGTCGTGGGGGCTCTGGGGGAGGGCGAGGAGACCGGCTGCCAGTGCTGTTCTGTGCTCGGTGTGGCTCACTGCTCTTGTCTCTTTGCATTCCTGTCTGTCTCTCTTGGGCATCAGGGGCTGCTCCCAGCCTCCTGCCCGCACACTCTGTCCCGAGGGCTGTTACCCTACCATACAGCCCTGCCGGACCAGTGCTGTTTGTGGAAGCATCTCGGCTTCCCTTGCTGCCCTGGCTTCTCTCCTTGCCAGACCAGCCCATAACAGGTGCATGATGAGGACGGGCTCCATGTGGAAAGATGAGGGCGCTCGGCGGGCCAAGCAAAATAGCTAAGGAGAACTCTGCAGGGAGGGGAAAATATATCCCTCTGTAGGCTACTTTTGAACTTGAAAGTTCATCTAGAAAACATTCTCTCCTACTCACCCCCCAAAAAACACCGTCAAAGAAAAACATCCTCACAAGCACCCGGGTCTTGACTGCTCTGTCCTCCTCCTGTGAGCTCACCTCACCTCATTCTCCGTGTCGGTGCCTTCTGGGATGGAGCAGGGCAGGAGGCAGGTGGTCAGTGGTTTTCTCACAGCGGGGAAGGCTGCCTCTTCCGCAGTGCTGACAGGAGACACTTGAGCTGTAGCGGGAGCAGATAAGGTCCCTTGCGGCAGGCGCCCTGGCCTGCGGCTGCTCTGTGGGGCCGCCGGGTGGCCGTCGCCAGTGGCTCTCACCGGCGGCCGTGTGACCCGTTTGCCCCCCCGTCCGGCTAGAGTGCTGCTGTGGGGCCCGGCGGCTGTGGAGCATCACAAGACGTGCAGGAGCCTGGGCAAGTCGCTGTGGCAGGAGCCGAGCCCCGGGGACATCCTCCGCTTGCTGGATCAGGACCGGATGATGAAGACCATCCTCCACTTCCCGCAGAACCGCAGGCTGCTGGCCCCTGAGGTGCGGGCCTGGGGCACAGCCGTCGGGGAGCCTCCCCGAGGCCTGGGAGCCATCTCCCCATCCCTTGCACCCTTGACGTTGGTCCCTGTAAAGTACAAGTCTGTGTCCCCACTCTTGTACGACCCCAGCCACAGGGGACGCTACAGAGACTGGGCCCCCTGCCCATCACCCAGCTTCAGCAGTGACCGGCACTGCCACGCGTGTCTCGTTTATAACTTCTCCCCCAAAGGTGGTTATTATAAGATGCAGCCCCCCAAGATTATACAGATCAAATATGCAAGTTCTGTTTTCTACAGGAGCATCTTTTCTAAGCTCTCGAGTATCCCAAAGTATCTGAACCCTGGCAGCAGCGTGTTTCCATGTGAGCCCGCATTTGCGGACAGTCTGAGCTGCGCGGCTCATTGTTTTCATCTGTTTTAGGGTGCGCAGGAGCCGCTATTTACAGATGAGAGAATAGCGGATCTCGACCGCCTCTATGACCCCTGCTTTCTCCTTCACCTCTTCAGTGAATTGACCAGGCCAGGTAACTTCGTTCTCACTGGGTGTCGTTCCTGCTCTGCCCAAGTCAGGCGCGGCCCTCACAGTCGCTCTCCCCGTTCTCCCCCTGCCCCCGACGCTTAGCCGCAGACTCAGGCACACCCAGGGTGGCCAGGAAGCAGCTCGGTCCCTTCTTACCGTGCATGAAAATAGACTTTCCGCAGTCTAGAAATACAAGTCAGCTAGTGAGTTAAATCATTTGTTGCTCGGATTTGTGGTCCTTACATTACTGATTGCACCAAAGTCATTCAGTATAGAATGACTTTAAAGTAGAAAAAAAAATTGTTTTTAAGATTTATTTATTTATACATATGGAGCTGGAGTATGGGCCAGACCTGCAGGGGCAGTGAGAGGCTTCACCAGAGACAGGGTGGGGAGCAGAACAGGCAGATCGAGGAAGCACACTGCTGAGGTGAGCAGGGGGGAGGCAGGAGAGGTCTGCGCACCCTGTGGGTCACTCCCTGGCCCGGTCAAGCTCTCATGCTGAAGCTGCAGCTAGCTTCATAGTGCTGTGATTTCCCCCTTACGCCACCAGGGAGGGCCCTAACGTAGAAAATTTGTTAAAACTTAGCCGCGGGCGGAAGGAAGGAAGGAACCGACTAATGAACTAGGCTTGTTTTCTTTTGCTGCAGGCTACTTGTCTGCAACAAAAAAATAAAACAATGTTTTAAACCAATTTTGTTATCTGACCAGAGGGCAGGTTTGTCCATCAGAAGATCATTCTTGGCAGTAAAATGATCTGCTGAATGGAAAAGAAATCTGACCAGCATGGTGGTTTTTGTGGCTGTGCTTACTGCAGTTAAGTCATGAACTTAGTGTGTTTTCAGACTTCCGGTTCCTCTTGCTTTTGCCCTGGTGAGCAAGTGCGCACCATCAGAGTTCTAAGTAGAATTGGCTGCAGTGTGTGTGACATGTAAAGTGCCTCGACTTGACAAAGCCATCAGCTGAATGACAGCACAGTGGACGGCGCTTCCTGGCCTGGTCAGCGCCCTGACGCCCGGCCGTTTGTAGGCCGCCTGGTCCCCTGAGCCATCTCTGCTCGTCCACGCTATGTTTGTGAGGCTCCCCGTGCTGTGTGTGTCTCCTTCTGTGGTGCCTCTGAGTCTGCTGCCCAGTGCTAGGGGTGGCCCAGTATGGGCTCGGTTTGTGTGTGACTGGCATCCTCAGAGAAACCGCAGTCTCGGTGCTCGTTCAGCCCTCTGCTGAAAGTGGAACCCGTTCTCTTAACCTTACCGCTTCCCCTCTTGATTCCTTGGCTCAGAAACAGGGCCAGCCAAGGCTGTCACCCAAGACAGTGACAAATGCTATTTTCCCCAGCGAATTCTTGTCCTCAGCAGAATGGGAGTGAAATCTTCACATGTGCATGACTAGGGAGCCCGTGTGTGATCTTCAAGTGTCGTCACTAGGCTGAGAGGGCTGAGAAGAGCCTGGCCTGCCAGGCCACCTCGGGGGAACTTGGTACACCGAGGCTGGGGGAGAGTTCTTGACAAGCCCCCCACCCCAGCACATTTGGGCTCCTCCAAAGACTCTAAAACTTAGGACGCTTTTTATTACAATTCTTGATTACTGTCTGGTGAGGAATTTGGGTCTAAGGATCTATTAATTGGAAGCCACATTACCGTTTATGAGGTCTTTGGAAGGAAGAGAATGGCATTTATCACTGTATTTTCCACACCCAGGGGCTGCTCCTTTCCATACGTGCTCTAAAGTCAGACTGCCATAGACTGAGAGCTGAAGCTGAGTGCCCGCCCCTACGTGGGAAATGCATTTGCCTCAGAGAATGTCAGCGATTACTAAAAACCTCCCAGCCAGCTGGGCACAGCCATTCTGAGTAATATAAATGTTTAAACTGTTCTTTATCCCAAGTGTGTACCGTTTATATGTATTTGTTATATAGGCATGTAGGTGGATGTTAAAACATTTCTCACCTTCTAAAACAGTATCATTTTACTCCATGATTTGATGGTTTTTAAAGCTTTTCAGTTTTTTTTTTTCCCCTCCTACCAAAGAGTCATTTGTCAGAAGGAAGAAAATTTAGTCTGTGGTGTAAAACGATACTGTTTTGGGAAAGATGGGTCTTTTGATAGGCCAAATCTTCTGCTTATTCTTTTCCTCCCTTTTTGCAAATTTTATTCTTTTCCTCCCTTTTGCAAATTTACATTTGAAGTGACTGCTGGTCTGATTCCATCTTGTTGTCTTTGTCGGCTTTTAGCGGCAGCTCATGGGTGCTCACAGGTGCACGCCAGGTGTCTGTGGTGGCTTGGGGCTGATGATGCCTCTTCAGGTCCCTGCAGTTTACACTCGGTGCCATAGTGCCGCTCATGACTAGTGGAAGCACCTTAAAACGTCTCTTTCTAGCCTTCTGGTCTCTATCCTGTTCCAATACAGCTCCTTCTGCGTGCCGTAAAGCCTGCCATCCGTGATTATTTTTCGTTTCAGTTGTCAATGGCCTTTTAAAGAGACTCAGATGTGTTATATTTATTACGCAGCTGCCACTTCTGGTTCTTTTTATTCCTTTGTGTGAATCCAGACTTCTGCCTTAGGTCGTTTTCTTTCTGCCTGCAAGACTTAAAGAATTCCTACAGTTCATTCTAGGATGACAGGCACTTCCTCTGAGTATTTTGAAGATGTTTGCATTTTCTAACAAGATATTACTGTCAGTCTTATCTTTGTTCCTTTGTACGTTACATGGCTCTCTCAAGATTATTTTTTACCACTGGCCTCACGCCTGTGATGGTGAGCTTTAGTGGGCTTGTCCTTATATTTCTCGTGCTATTGAGCTTCTTCGACTGTTAGAAACTGTCAAATTGGTAACCGTTTTTGCCACGATTGCCTCAGATGTTACCAGGGACTCCAGCTACACTTCTTTTGGACCTTATGAACTTGTTCCACAGTTTCAGGTCTCTGTTGACATGTTCAAGGTTCTTCCTGTGTGTGTGTGTCAGTTTGGGTAGTTCCTATTGCTGTCTTCAAACTCACTGGTCTTTCTGCAGCATCTAATCTGCTGACCGGCCAGTGCACCTTTCACCTAATTTACGTCTTCGTCTCTGAAGGCTTGGTTTGGGCTTGTAGAGCTTGCCTGTCTGCACTTGACCTGGTCTTGCTTTCACACTCTCAGGCGGGGCAGAGGCCCACCCTGCCTGGTGGGAAGAGCGCTATTTGCAGGCAGGCAGGAGCCGGGGGTTGTCTCTCCCAGGCCTGCAGCGTGGTTTTTCCCAGCCCCTACAGGCTCAACTCAGCTGACGCCCGGCGCCTCTCAGTGGCACGCTTTCCTCCCTGCTGTGTGCACCCAGACGCCTTGTCCCCCCCGGCACTGTCTCCTAGCTCAGGTCCCCTGTCTCTCTCCAGTGCGCATCCCCCCCCCCCCATCCGCGTGCAGCAGGCGCTGTGGTGTGGCGGGCGATCGGAGGTCTGCCCTGTAAGTGTTTGCCGTTGCTCGGGGACCGCTGTCCTCAACTGCCTCACGTCCAGGTCTCAAAGGACCTGGTACCATTTCTTTGGTCAGGTTTTAGTTGCCACAGCTAGGTAGATAGTGCTGGTTCTATTCTGTCCTGATGGGAACTGGAAATGCCTGTCAACGTGGCACAAGAATTGAGAAGGCAGAGGAAGGGCCCTGTGTGTGGCCTTGTCTCTGACACTCCACTTAGATACAAAGCTGTGGACACTCCCAGGGTTCTGCTGCTTCTAAAGGAGAAGGAGAGGAGCTTGCCGGCGTCCCGGCCTGACTGTGGCCTGTCACCCCAAGTAACAGGACTCCAGGCTTGGCCACAGGTCCTCTGCTCGATGATTTAAATGATTTCTACACTTTGGACTAATGACCCCTGGGACACCATTATGTGGCTCTGAGGCTGTTTGGATTAAGGAATTTTTCTTTCACTTATTTTCTTAGTTTTTTAAATCGGTAACATCCTTTTTGAACTAACTCTGGAAGGAGTTTGACTGTTGAAGTGGTATGCCTTCCGTTGACAGTATTTTCCAAGACTGCCGAGTGGGCTCGTGTTTGGCTCCTGATGGGCCTGGCCCACCACCCCTCACTGAGAAGAGTGTCACCCTTGGGTGATTGCCATGACCAGGCTCTGCCTAGTCATCACGCACAGGGTCCCGTGTCGAGCCTGAGGTTTCCTTGGCTGTCTCCTGTACAGAAGCAGGGGTTTTTAGGAATGAGCACGTTGAGCGTCCTGAATTTACCTGAGAGAGTCAAGCCAAGGAACTGGCCCCTCGCGTACCCAATGGCCCCTCAGTCACTTGCTCTCCTAGAGCGGCCGTGAGGCCCTCGGTGGCGCATGGCTGTCAGCCAGCAGGCCCTTCGGACTGTAGTTGGTGTTCAAGCGTGGGAAGCCCACTCTCATCTGAGGGTCCTGCTGTTAGAAGAGAGAACTAGGGATGTAAATCAGTCCTTCACAAAACAGATGGGCTGAGCCAGAGAACGCCCTGGACTTTCCTTGCTGGCACGTTAGCTGAGCACAGGGGCAGCGGGCTGAAACGGGCAGGACGCTGGTTTCCTCTGCTGAGCCTCCACGTGCTGGGTCCTCGGGGTTCTCCTGAACAGCACCCCAAGCTCTGGCTCGTTGGGCATCTGAGGAGTGATGAGAGAATCCTGGTTGGGATTTACAAGCATCTTAGCAGGAAGGTGGTGGTTATTGCCACCGACGGGGAGAGAGACTCCTAGTCTCAGCAGGAATAATGATGGCTGGACAGAGACTTGGTGTCTTGCATCTGCCATGTGGAGCTGAACTGGTAAAGTTCCAAAGGACATTTAATTTGCCGTGTCATACAGGCATCATGGGATCACGTGTTTAGTGCTGTGTTTTATTTCCTGCAGAATTTGTGGTGGATTGTCGAAAGTTTTTGGACTCAAATGCTCTGGGCCTCACATTTGCGGCCCTCAGCAGCTACGACCCCCAGATGCGAGCCACGGCCTACTACGTGCTGGCCGCCTACTACTCGCACTTGGAGGGGGCGCGTTTCCGAGAGCAGGCCCAGGTGAGTGGGCCGGGGTGCGCCCGCCCGGAGGGCTTGGGAAGCTGGTCCGCCTGGCCTGGGCTGGGCTGGAGGTCGTCTGCGCTTCCCTGCGGGGCGGAGCAGAAGGTCTCCCCCACCAGCTCCCTTCCCAGGCTGCGGGGGGCCGGGGCAGTGGCTCTCTTCAGTCTGAACGCAGGCTAAGCTGCTGGTACCAACATACACTGAGGCCCAGAAGCCTGTGGCCTACCGCAGTAGGGATCGGGGCACGGGAAGGTGCCCGGCAGATGCATGAGCGCCCCGTTGGTTCCTGGGGTGTGAGGAACTACCCGGCCCGGAGAGCACAGTTCAGGGTGCAGCAGACAGGCCAGGCCACGGTTTTCCTGAGCTCATCTTGTTTTCTTGTTTCTGTTTTTTTAGCTACTTTACCTGTTGGATGTAGTCAGGAACGGGATCCGGACTCCAAACATGAGACTCACCTTTACCTTAAGTCTCTTCATCGCCAAAGTGGCCCTGCAGATTTTGAAACCAGGTACCATGGGCAGAATGTGGTGGCGGTGAGAGAGCACGCGCACCCCGTTAGGGTGAATCGAGGTGGGGTCGTCACTGTGAGCGCCCCGCAGGGGCACCCAGTGCTGTGACAGAGGGTGGCGAGGCTTGGGGCAGCACCTGGTCCACCCTGGGGGACAGTGAGTACATGGTGGCCGCGAGGGAGAGCCTTGAGGGCCAGAAGAGACGACGGGAAGAGGGCGCGGCAGCGCGCGGCTGTGCACAGCGGCGGCGGGAGCTCGGCCTCGCGCCCGCGTGGGGGCTGCTGTGCCGGGGAGCTGCGGGCTCGGCCGGTGCCGGGCCCAGCAGAGACGTCTGCGTCCAGGCGGCTCGAGGGCCCTGAGCTGGCGTGCGGGTCCCTCCGGGGCACCGGATGGTTGCTCCCAGCAGGTGCTGTGCTGAGGTGGTGTGAGGCGAAGCTAGTCTCTTTCTGGCTTTGTCTTTTTGCTGTCAGTAAACAAGTCACAGGATGCTGGGCCGCAGGGGTCTCAGTGTCACACGGTTGTTTTCAGGTGGGGACGCGGATCCCCCAGCGGTGGCCTGCAAGGTTAGCGCTGTCCCCTCGTCCCTCTGTGCTGTGGGCAGGCCGCAGTTAGAAGTAGGTCTGATGTCTGTCTGCTCCTCAGTCGTTTTTATTACATGGTTTTCACCGTAGACATACAGGGAGGAAAGAAGACCCCAAAGGTCTTAGCGCTGGTAGACGCCAAAGGAAGTGCTGAAAGCCCAGAACAGCCCCCAGAGGCTGTGTCTGCACCTGCAGCTCCGACACCCAGCGCAGCTCAGGCTGCAGTGGTGACCCCGGGCGGGGAGCGGCAGGGGAGGCGCCGGTGCCCTCTGCTGTGGCTGTGTCCTTGGGTGGGAGGCAGCGGCGAGCCCGCTCGCCCTGTGCAGTCAGCCGGCAGAATAGGCCCCGCCCGGCCCGCCCAGCAGCCAGTTGGCGCTCGTGCAGGAGGTGCCATCGGGGCCCCTGGAGAGCCTGGGCACAGGGTGGAGCCGCGGTGACTCTACATCCCGCGTCTCAGAACCAAAACCTGGACAAGGGCTCCGGGCCCCGCGGCGCAGGGACTTGGGTCCGACGGACTCCGGGTGGCGCGGCGCCTGCTGTAGCATCTGCCTCTTTCCAGAGGAGCACATGTACCTGAAGGTCAGCAAGTTCCTGCTGTCGCACGAGTACTTGAATATGAGCAAAATCCCAGGCTTCTACCAGTTCTTCTACAGCTCCGACTTCGAGGTGAGGCGCCCGGCCTCCACGGTCCTGCCGACGCGCGCCGGGTGTGGCCAGCCCCTCGCAGCGGGCGTGGGGCAGGCCGGTCGGAACGGCACGGGGACACAGGCCCCGCTGGTCTCTAGGAAGCCGCTTGGCCCCGAAAGCACGGTCTGTTTATCCCACTTTCATTTATTTTCTTGGCTGTACACGTGCTTTTGGGAAGCTCCCCGAGTTAACAGAACGCGGCGTGCGCGCGAGTTGCCCTTTGTTCCCGACCCCGGACCCAGGGCAGACGTGGAGCGAGGGCTTCTTCATCACCGGCCGGAACCGGCGGGGCCGCTGTGCCGCCGCCTGGCCGCCGCTCGGAAGATGGCCGCCGGGAACGCGGTCGGGAACGCGGTCACGCGAAGGGCCGCACCTGCCTGACGGCGGCTTCTCGTGTGCTCGGGTTTCAGCAAAAAGCAGAGCAGGAGTGGGTGCTCGAAGTCCTGCGGCAGGGCATTCGCGACAAGCACTGCTACGAGCTGTACTCCCGGCGCGGCGTCTTCCACGTCCTCCTGTCCTTCTTCAGCAGCCCCTTGTGCGATGACGTGGCGCAGGTAGGCGCCGGGGCCGTCCCAGCTGAAAGGTCTGCCGCCCAGGCCTGCGGTTGCCCTGTGAGCCCTGCGTCCTCGCCGTCCCTTCCGCAGGGAACCTCCTCCCCGCGGACAGTCTCGGCGAGGCCACCGTGGACTCAGCGTGCTGTGACGGGAGGGCTCTTGCCCACTTCAGTCCAGGAGGGGAGTTTCGCTCCCTGAACAGTATCTTTTTCTTTGGGGTTTCCAGAATTGGATCCTGGAAATTCTCCAGAATGCTGCCCAGGATACCAAGTCTGCATACGCGCTCCTACGAGACTACAGCCTCTTAACGTGGGTCTTACACATCCTGGAGAGCAGGTGAACGCCTTGTGCCCGAGAGGCAGGTGCCGGGCTGGGCGGGGGCGGGGCGGAGACGGCCGGCGTCAGCGCGGAAACCCAGCGGGTGTCCGTGGAAGGAGAGGGGACCAGGCGACCTCCCGTGTCTGGCTTTAGGTTCCTGGAGACCCCGCTGCTGTCTAACATCATCTCCTTGCTGCACACGCTGTGGGTGACCAACCTGGGAGACAAGGCGCTGGAGAGCCAGCCTCCCCACGGGCCCGCGCCCCAGGAGCCCCCGAAGCTGCTGGCCCTGCACCTGGTGGACGAGTTCCTTTACGTGCTCGTTGCGCTCACGAGGCACCTGAGGTAAGGCCTCCCCGGCGGTGACCCGGTGAGCCAGTGGGCGACGCCCTCTGCGGCCACCTCCTCCTGGCCGACTCCGTGGCTGGCCAGGGCCCGGGCCGCGCTCTGTGACGCCAGAGAGCCCGTTTCCGGTTTCTTGGCCCTGCCAAGGCCCGAGACCTCGCCGTGCTCTGATCACCTGGAGACGTCACTCTAGGCCGTTTCTGGCAGGACAACCATTGACTTGATATTTTGATTCGAAGTCACACTTTGTAGAAAGAACAGGACTTCTGAGCCCTTAACCTAAGAATGTTAAGGCGTTCCAGACTACCTCTGTGCCTCGTTAGCCTGCAGAAGCTCCTTGTCTGAATGTTCTGGCTCTTTCAGAATACCCTCTCTCCCTGTGTGATGCTCTTGGTTTCTTCGGGAGAGCTAACCTCTCCTCGGGCTGCACTGTTCCGGGAGATGACAGTGCAGCCAGATGTCTGATGTGGGGGCAGGTAGACTGGGTGGAGCCAGGAGGCTGATGTTTCGGCACAAGGATTATGATCTCAGTGAGCCCAGGGCACTTGCTTTGATGTTCTGCATTCGGTTGTCCGGACAGCATTGCCACACTCCTGTCAGGTCTCTATCGGGCTCTTTTTTAAAGATTTATTTATTTATGCATACAGAACTGGGGTACAGGCCAGAGACTCAGGGGTGGTGAAAGACTTCATCAGAGACAGAGTGGGGAGCAGAACAGACAGATCAGTGAAGTACACCGCTGAGGGGAGCAGCGGGGAGACAGGAGGAGTCTGCTGCGCCATGTGGGTCAGCTCCCTGGCCGGGGATCGAACTCGTGCTGAAGAGGTTGCGGCCAGCTTCGCAGTACTGCGTTTCAACCCGTGGCGCCACCAGGGCCTTGCCAGGTGCCCTTTGAAGCAGTGACTGTCGCTGCGTGGAGTAATGGTGTTGAATTTTCAACTTGAGTTGCAGGTGGTGTCTCCTCCCAGGGGCTGTGGTGGAGACACCGACCAGGATTTCCTGAGCCTTTTCCCTCTAGACTGAGGCTCCCGGGGTGGAGAGGCGCCTGCAGGCCTTGCCACTGGGAGGCCGCCCTGACCCGCAGGCTCTGTCTGACCAGTCTTGGGGTAGCTGTGGTTCCAGTTCTGAGCTGGGGGCCAGCCCAGCCCCATTCTGCCCGCCGTCCTGCAGCGGCTGGCTTTTACCTGGCCTGCGTGCTGGACTCCACACTCCATGTCGGGACAAGTCTGGGGTTGGCCAGCTGCCAGGGCCTGGGCTGCAGGACAAGCAGCAGCCTGTGCTCAGTCTGTGGCCTTGACACCCGACAGGCCCGCCTTGGCCCCCGCCCAGCTGACCAGCTTCTTTGGGGCCCTTGACGCGGCGCTGAGGTACCGGGCCACCGTCCTGCGGGCCTTCAAGGACATGAACCGCTTCACAGTGAACGAGACAGTGCTGTCCACCAAGGACGTGCTCGTCCTGTTGCACAAATGGAGCCTCCTCGCGAGAGACGTCAGGCTCCAGGAAGACCTTCGCGCAGCCGTCGAGAAGCACCCAGTCAAGGAGCTTCTGAGTGAGTGTGGGGGACCCCCGCCATGTGCTCGCCCCAGAGCCCCCCCTCCAGCCTCCACAGTGCCCCGGGCTTGGAGAGGGCTGGGCCGGGGACCCCTCTTCGAGGCTGCCTGCCACCCTCGGGGTGCTCACTTGTGAAGGGGAGAGGGTCGCTTTGGTGTGGTGAGGATTAAGAACCAGCTAGTATTACTACTTTACTTAATGAAAAGTTTGCTCTTTTATTCAGCAACTAAAGTTTTTCACTCTGCAGGGCTGCATCTCCTGTTGCCTGGTGACCTTTTTTCTCCACCACCGTCCCTTAGACGCTTTGACCCTTTCTCCTCCCTCCTTCCCCTCACCGCAAGAGCCTCGCTTAGCTTATCAGTGTCTGCCCGTTTTTGTGCGCGTTCGTTCGCGCTGCCAAGCCGCCGGCTCTGTGCGCCCCTGCTGTTGACTTGCCCGACTGCACGTCACGCTCAGCCCCCTTAGGCAGTGTCTCTCCCGTCCCGGTGGCCGGGTAGTGTTCCCGCTGGTCATGAGTTCTGACAGTCGGGGCTCGCAGGGCTCCCCGTGCTCCCTGGGGCGGAGCGGCGTCCGAGCCGCCCCTCCGCCCCCGTGTGAGGGGAGGGATGGCGGTCCCACTGCCTTCTTTCTGTGTGTAACAGAAATGTTCAAGGAGAAGAGCAAGCCTGCCGCTCCGGCCCGCGCCAGAGGCCCGCGGGGCCGAAGGAGGCGGCCTGAGGAGGCAGAAGCGGCGGCCGAGCCTGAGCTGCAGGCCTCCAGCCTGGAGACGTGCAGGGGCCTCCTGCGGTCCATACTGACTCACTGGGCGCCGGTGTGCCCCAGCCCTGACCTGGCTCCGCGGCGCACCGGCGAGCCCGAGGGAGGCGCCCGGGGCCCCGCGCACGCCGCCGCCTCTCTGGCGGTCAGCTGGGCGCTGCGGTCCGTGGCCGGGTGCCCGCTCCGCACGTCGGAGGCCGCAGGACTCCTCGGCTGGCTTAGGAGCCACGTGCTGCCGCGGCCGGCCCTGGCGGCCGCCCTGCTCGGGGACCAGGACGCGAGGAGCAGCTTGTTCCGGCTGCACAGCCAGCTCTGTGCGGCCGAGGGGCTGGCGGGGCCCCAGCTGACAGCGGCCTGCCTGTGCAGCACCGTCATGCTGCAGACGCTGGCGGCCCAGGGCCCGGCGGGGAGCCCCTTCCGGCAGGCGGTCGAGGCGCTGTGCCGCCGCTCTCTGGAGGAGGAAGAGGAGGAGGCCACGCGAGGTAACGCTGCCGCTCTGCTGGAGAGCTTGGGGGCCGGGGCAGGACCCTCTGCTGTTGTGCCAGCCTCTCGCTCGCTCCCCTCCCCACGGTCTGGAGACCCAGAGAGCTCGTGTCCGGCCGGCGTGTGCAGCCCTGGAAGCTCGGCTTTGGCTTTACTGACGCTCCAGAGTGGGGAGTGTCGCCCAGCGCGGGCACACACGCTGGCAGGGCGGAGGGGGCGGTTCTGGGCTTCCTGCCTGTCCACAGTGCCCAGGTGAAGAAGGATGTTCACCTGGGGCCAGCTGTGTGCGGAGGTGTGTGTGCTCGCCTCCGGACACGCGCAGGCACAGACACATTCAGCTCTGCCCGGCACCCAGCAGGTGTTGCAGGGCTGTGGCGCGAGCAGAGGGTAGCGTCTAGCCACTAGTGAGCTGTCAGGGGGCTCACAGGGAGCGTGATGCACAGGCTGCCTGCGGGGCCGAGGCCGGCTGGTAGCAGTTAACTTTGAAAATGAACAAAAAGGATGAGCCCAGAGGCTAAGCAAAGGCAGAGGGGATCTGCCTCGGGGGTGCCGCAGGCCGCAGTTGGTTGGGTGCTTGGGGCGCCCCGGTTGGGCACTGCCGGGCTCTGGCGGGTCGGCTCCTGTCCGACGGCCTTGTTCTCTGCCTCTTCCAAGCCGCCGCGGCCTTCCTGGTGTCCCTGTACGTTAAGGACGCCTGGCTGGGGGCCCAGCATCCGGGCACACTCCTGAGCCACGTCCGGATGACCTGTGACGCTGCAGAAGCCGAGCTGCGAGGTGGCAGAGAGGAGGCCATCGTCCTGCTGTGCAGGGACCTCGCGGCCTCGACCTCAGAAGCCTGAGGCCCGCCCACCGCCCTCGCCGCCAGGTTCCGGGAGGCTGAGTCGCGGCTTCTGGGAGGCGCGTGGCGAGAGGGCTGCGCGAGACCCGGTTCCCTGAGCAGAAGAGCTGGCCGTTGAAGCGACCGAGGTGCGACGAGCTCAAGGGAGTGCCTACAGGGTAGGCCGTGTGGGGGCGGCCGCACCCCTCAGCCTCAGGTGGGCGGGAGCCACCTCCTGTCGTCAGAGGTGCAGAGGTGCCGCTCTCGGGTTCCCGGTGCGAAGCGAGATGCAAGAACGTGAAGAGAAGTTGCGACGAAGCTTGGAGATTAGGCTTCCATCCATGCGCGCTCATTGTTTACTGAATGGAAGTTGTGTTACTGAAATCCCAAAGACGGGATCCAGTTTGACTTCTTTTTTCTTGTATTTTTTTAAAGCTGTGTTTTAAAGAGGGGTATTTGAGTTGTACAACTTCTTGTTAATAAATTTCTATTTTTGTTAGACTTTTGTACGCTGCTGAGTTGATGTTAAGTCTACTTTTGTTCCACAGAGACCTGCACTTTAGAGGCCAGGATTTGACTTTCAAGATATGAAGTTTCACAGGTTTCACAGAAAAAATCCCAGCCTGGTATTTAAGCATGTGGGTCCCCGCATGTCGGACCACGCCAGATGTCAGAGTCCAGCTCTGGCAGGTGGCTGGGCAAGGGTCCTGTTCCCGAAGGATGAGCCGGCGTCCACGAAATGAGCAATGAGGCAGACACTGACCAGCTGGTGCACGTATCTCCTGCCGAAAACTTGAGTAGTTCTTTATTGAAAGTTTCCAAGCCGTGAGATTACATCAGTCTGGGCATTGAAGCAAATCTTTTAGCAATTTCCATGGCTACATCAAAACTTTTGTGATTACATGTTACAAAGAAGTTCTCTTGATCACAGAAAGAAAACCACCAAAAACAATCAGCATCCCCATTTTTTCAGCATGACCAATCATTCTGGTCAGCGTCTCAAAGAAAGTAGCAAATCCTTAAGTCCTCCTATGAACAATCCTTTCCCAGGTTCCCAACTGTCCCAGGAGGAAGTACATCCTAATCATATTGTATCCATATTTATAAAGACAGTCTACACTCTTGATTTATGCTAAGGTACTTTTCTGAGAAAGTCACTGTCAATTGTTAAACATTTTTGTAACCGGTTCCCAATGTCCAATTAGGCCCCTCACAAAGGAGGGCCAAGAATTGCTTGATGGTCGAGTACAATTGCTATTAGCCAAGAACAAGTCCAAGGCATCTCAGTGAGCATCGCTATGGAGACGCCCGTACTGTGTCTTCTTGGGAACCAGAACTCCCCTTTGCATGTCTTCTTGGGAACCAAGCAGCCTCCATCTTCTGGGGAGTCTCCCCCACTGCCCGGACCTTGTCATGGTCAGCCTGGGTAGCACGGCCTCTGTCACCCACACCCTCCCACACACTGGGTCCCGGGCCTGCCCGTCAGCACCGGTGGTGGTTCCCGTCTGTGCGGGGTAGCGCATGTAGCCCCCCGAAGACCTTTCCAGACCCGCAGCGTTCCCTAGGCTCTTTCTCGACTCGCTTCTATTTTGTTTTCTTAATGACTCGAGATTTAAACTAGACGAGGGTAACACTCACCTGTATCTTGTCCCCTTGCTCCAAAGAGGGGCACCCCGCCTCCCCTCCCCTGCCCACCACCCCGCCATTAGAGAACAAGAGGCTGCAAAACAGCTATGACCCCTGGTGCGTGGGGATTGGGGCCAGGACACCCCCACCCCCACCCCCACCTCACTAGTCCCTGCAGAAGGTGGCCTGGGTTGGCCAGACCTGCGCACGTCCTGTGCACGTCCCTGGCCTTTGTCACCTCAGTGCTGCGCACACCGTGTGGTGCGACCGCTGGCCGGGTGGCCGTCGCCTACGGAACTTTGGGAAGTGAGGACGGGAAGTCAGGCTCGGCTCGGGTAAGCGGCACAGGACTGGCCACGTGCGCTGTCCTGTCCTGGGTGTCCCACCGGACGCGGAGGGGCGCCGACCATAGACTGAAATTGCAGCCCTGCGAGACTCTTCGGAAAGGCTGCGAGTCCCTCTCGCCCCTCTCTGCACCTCTGGGTGCTTCCGTCCCCCTCTTGCATCGCCCCTTCTAGCCACCGTCCCCGTCCAGTCTGGCGAGAGCAGCCACTGGCGGCGGTTTTACAGGTTGTGCGGTGCGCTGCTGTCTGCACCAGGGCAGGTGCTAGCGGGGCCTCCGGAAGTCACCGAGGTCGAGGTCGCCATCGACAGGGCCCTTCCCGCCGCGTCCAGAGGTCCGCCGGCGGCCTTTGCAGCTGCCCAGCGCTTGGGCCTGCCTTCTCGGGGGGCCTCTCCTCTCGGTCTCGGAAAGCTCTGGGCGGCCTCGGTATGGCTCCCCAGGCTGCTCAGCTGACTGGCTGGGCTCGGGCTCCCCATCTTGGTGACTGGCACCAGCGGGGGCCGGGGGGGGGCGGGGTGAGGGCTTCCGACACCTTCCCTGGGGTCCTAAGAACGGTGCATACTGGCCAAGTGAACTCAGGGTCGTAAACTGTCACAGAATAGTCGACACTACAAGTGAGCTAATCGCTTTTATTTCCCCACCCTTCAGACAGAAAGCAAGCAGGGGACAGGTGTTAAATACGGTCAGCGGCTGCCAGGTGGGCTTGCGCGCACCCGGGTAGATGCCAGGCCCTGCCGCCTGGCCGTCACGTTTGACTTCCTGTCCCACGTGCACAGGCGTCCGCTGCTTTGAGTTCACCCCCGGCGCAGAGGGCACAGTGCTCCGCTGCAGTCAGGCTTGTCTCCAGAGCGGGCCTGCGGGGCTTGCTCCTGACGTCAGCTGTGGCCGTGGGGTCCAGGTCCCAGAGGAGAGCAGGGAGCCAGGGGGTTGGGGATGGCAGGGTGTACAGATGCCCCCACTGCAGTGCTGGTTGGGCCAGTGCTCCTGCCTGGTTCCTGGACGGAGCTGGAGGGAGACTTTGGGGTCCCTGGGGGCCCCCACAGAGTGGGAGTTGAGGCCGTGACTCCAGCAACATGTCGGGTGGTGTCACAGCTCCTATGGACAGAGCAGATGGGAGAGGTCTCAGGGCCAGAGAACAGCCCTCCCGGGGGGCTTTCCTTCTGCACCCCTGCTGCCCAGCGACTGTGGGGAAGGCACTGCGGGTCAGTGCCTCAGTGCCGGGGGAGCAGGGTGTGGGGGAGGGGGAAGGGAGCGGCCCACCCTATGGAGAAATGGCAGAAGTGCTCCCGGAGAAGGCCTCCCCCTCTGAGGACACTGCCCCTTGTATGCCGGGGCAGGGCAGGCTGGGCCTCTGGGCAAGCTCCTGTTTGGCTGCACTTGATCCACCCTGTGCCCAAAGCCTGGTGCCGACTTGTTTCAGAGCCAGAAATCCGCCTCCAGGTTTACTCCCCTGCCCACGGCGCCAGGGGCAGTGGGCACAGGTGTACCCACCCGCCTCCGTTCGAGGGACCGTGGCCTCAGGCAGAGTCAGGATGGACCAAGAGATGCTTGAGCGTTAAACCAGACAACTAGGTCAGGTTCGGTTACAGGACAGGTGAGCGAGGCGGCCAGGAAGCAGCCCGGCGACGCGAGGCCTCCTCCGTCCTCCTAGCGTAGAGCTGTCCTGTGTTCTCTTCCTCGCGTGGACTCCTGGGGAGGAACCACCTTTCCTAAATCTTACTCAGGCCCCCTCTGCTGTGCCGAGCATTCCACGCCCGTGTGGAGGGCCTGGAGAGCGCCTTTAGTCCGCCCTGTGCCTGCCCCGTATAGGGCTTCAGCGTGCCTACTGGGCCTGGGAAGCGCCCACCAGTGGCCAGTCTTGCAAAGTGTCCCCAGCACAGGCCTGCTGTGAGTCATCTCAGGAGAATAGGGGATAAAGCAAATTCAGTAGTTTCTCCCAAGTATCGTTTCCCCCAAGTATCACTGGGGGTAAAAATCTGCTTCATTTCACTTGAGCTCTTGAAACTGGCAGAAAAGACAATTTCCTCGTAGCTCAAAAGCTCCTTCCCAGGTGTAGGGAGCCAGATCTGACCTGGTGCGTGCAGACCTGGTGGGTGAGGCCTGTGGGCAGGTGGGGGAGGGGCATCTGAAGTCACTGCACACCCACAAACCCACAGTCCTGAGGGAACCAGCCACGGGACCCCATCCGGCACAGGGGCTGCCCTCAGGTCTTCCAGGCCTGAGAGTCCTGCTCATCTTCCTCTACCACCAGCTTCCTTCACCGACAACCTGCTTCCTCCTGCCCAGCTAGCTGAAGCTGCCCCTCAGGGGCTGGTCACCTGCAGCCCTCGTGGGAGAAGGAAGGCCATCCTGTTAACAAAGGAGTGTGGTGGAGGGGGCAAGGTGTTGAGGTGGCCCCCAGCCATGTCCAAGCTCCCCCCATGTCCAAGCTCCCCTAGTCAGGCTCAGAAGCATCCACCTGCTTAGATGTCCAGGATGGAAACTCAACCAATCAGCACCTTGCAAACTTTCCACCAATCAGAACTGCACTGAGAGCCTGATTTGCATAAGACCACCCATGTGAGCACCAGCCTCCCCTATCTTATATATCTACCAGCTCCAGGCTAGCCCCAGCACAGGGCTCCAGGGCCCTTGGGTCTGCGGCCCCTAAATAAACGCTTGTATTTTGTTTCAACCAGGTCTCGTTGGTTCTGGGATGACACCCCAAAGAAGCACTGTTTTCATTAGCGGTCACTCCCTCCTCTTCCCTCCTCCCAGCCCTAGGCAGCCACTAATCTGTTGGTTGGCTTGGGGTGGGTATTTCACAGCAGTGGAATTGCATGTGCCTGACGGCTCTGACTTAGCGTGCTGTTTTTTTTTTAAAGATTTATTTATTTATTCATATAGAACTGGGGTACAAGCCAGAGATGCAGAGGGTGAGAGGATTCACCAGAGACAGAGCGGGGAGCAGAACAGGCAGATCGACGAAGTACACTGCTGAGGGGAGCAGCGGGTGGGCCAGGAGAGGTCTGCCGCGCCAGGTGGGTCACCTCCGGGGCAGGCGGGAATCGAACTCACGGGGAAGCGGCTTAAGCTTCTCTGTGCTGTGCTTTAACCCCGCTGCGCCACCAGGGAGGGCCTTAGCGTGCTGTTGTTGAGACTCATCCCTTTTGTCGTCAGGCTGGGGGTGTATGTAGGGTCACTCGCCAGTTAGCCACCCACAGGTAACTGCCCCCCACTCCCTACTCACCTCATCTGCGGGAAGTCCGCCAGGATATGTAGAGCAGGATGAGGAAGAGAAAGAGCACGAAAGCCACCATGCTCACCCAGAAGGCAATGAGGATGGAATCTGGGAGGGAGAGAAGCAGCTCGGTGACTCCTGTAAACCACCAGTGAGAGAATAGGGCCCTGGTATGCAGAAACAGGCTGTCCTATCTCTTCTCTCTGTCACTGGGAAGAGGTGTTGCTCGGGAAGGGGCAGGCAGTAGGGAAGTGACCCCCAGAGTAACTTGCCCCTGGGTCCACTT